TTTAATAATTACATACTTCGTATATAACAATCATGTCCTGACATCAAAGTGTTTTTAAGAGCTAGATAATAAGCTAGACTGTGTATACAAAGTGACGTGATTCTGTTACTCATAAGTGTAACTTTAATATAGTAATATTTGGTCATGAAAACTGAGATCATTTTTCATTTCTGAATATGGGACATTTTTTATTGCATAGTTTGACATGTTTATGTTTCAATTATAGCATTTTAGGTAAAATTGTTTATTGAAAATCTTTTCATAGGTTTTATTCACCTGGCATTTTAGGTAAAATTGTTTATTAAAAGTCTACAACATGCAATCGTTCTTCGTTGAATAACACTTATTTTACTTAATAAGATCATATTACTCTCAATAACTTAAAGGCTCAACCTAATGAAAAATAAATCAATTGCTACCAATTACAATAGGCAACCTATTGTCGCCGCCATCACTTTCATTAAAACCAGAATTTACTATATATTTTAAACTCTTTTCTTTAAAAAAGAGATTGAAGGACTAATTTGAAAAATTCTAAAACCAAGAAGGAAAAAAATCTTTAAAATGACTACACCAATTTTTAATAAATAAATTAGATTTTAAAAGAATAGTTAGCCATAGATGAAATTTAATAGATAAAAGTAGGCATTGAGCATTCTTTTTTGTTTGGGTAAAGATAGTTGAAAAGATTAATTTCATTTGGGTATAACTGAGAGTCATAAAACATTTTCTCTTTTCATTGAAAAATATAGACTGAAAACGTGTCATTTAACGGTATTTTATACCAACAGTCAATTACCATTGGTATATGAGACCTACACCTACAATAGAATATGCATTACAAAACAATGTTATAATCGACTAAATAAGTTATTTTTCGTTAGTATGACTAAAAACCAAAAACATTCTGGGGCCATTTGTTAACCGGCGTATCCAGGGCCGTCTAGAGCGATTGTGAGGCCCTAGACGGTCATTTAGACAATTTGTTTTGATACATTTAATTCAATATAACAATATAAAAAATAGAATTTCAAATGAAATAAAAGTAAATTATATATGAAATGCATCATATAATATTAACATTTACTTCAACCTCAACATTTGTAGCCTCATTCTCAACAATATTTGAGGGATAAGGTTTAGATATCATGTACCGATCCATAGGCCGGCAAACGATTTTATGACCATGTCTTTTCTTAATTTATTCAATCTCTTTGTAGACCCCGAGTCATGTTTTCGTTTTCTCGTAAACCTACAATTTCATACAATTTCTAACTAGATAAAGTTTTTGTAACTTTCAATATTGAATAATATAAATACAATTATACAAATACACAATAATGTTTAATGATTAAATTGAATTATTATTATTTGATTTATTATAATATAATTATACAACAAATACCAATAGCCTAGTCCCTACAATCCCCTGTCTCTACCGAAGGCTATAACCTACTGCCTAAGTCCTAACACCAACTAACTATTAAAGAATTAACAATTCAAGGCAATCAAATTAAAAGATAGATCAACTACATCAATAATTGAAGGATTTGATCATTTTAAAAGCTGCCAGAAAGATTATCACGAGTAAAGACAGTTGGACAGAAGACCATTACATAATTTTAGTCCATTACTCTTTTAGCCAGAGGCCCTGTGCTGCTGTGCACCTGTGCACAATGCGGATGTTGGGACTTTGTGGCCGGTGGCCACTGCGGTCTGCGCCGACAGAATTGAGAGGGGAGTAGGGGACCAGCTATTGGCGATTGCTGGGATTTGCCGTTTCTGAAGAGCCGAAGAAGAGAAATTGAAAGGTCAAATCGAGAAAACTGAAGACTCTTAGACTCGTCCGCTCCCTCACTCGTCTGCCAGTTTTAAATTTTTTAATGTTTTGCTCCGTACTTGTTAGATTAGAAGATGTTTTATCATTAATTAGCAATTTAAATCAAGTATTTATATATAATATATATGGGCTTACATGAAAAATTGGAGGCCCCTTAGAAATTGGAGGCCCTAGACAAATGTCTAGGCTGGATGCCCCTATGGCCGGCCCTGGGCGTATCAAGCCCAACACGCTGATATTACTAGCGTTTACAATGTAAAAGACATACTCCGTAACGTTTTTGCTCAACCCGTTGATATCCAAATCTAGGCTTTATCCCGTGCACGGCACGGTTACAAATACTCAGGGCCGTTTTTTAGGGGGTTCAATAGGCTATCCAGAACAGGGCCCCCAAATTTATGGGGCCCCAAATTTTTAAAAATTTATTAATATTATATAGTAATATTATATATTAATACTAATCATTAAAATATACGGAGTAGTTACCAAGTTAGAAAGAAAATATAGATCAATCATTTTTTTCGTTGGTTCTTTTACTCTTTTAGTTCTCTTTTAATCAATATTCAATTGATTTGAGTATAAGTATTTAGATTGAGATTTTTTTTAAAAAAAATATTAATATGGGGCCCCATTTTTACATTTTGAACCAGGGCCTCCAAATTGATTAGACGGCCCTGCAAATACTAGTATATCATATTTAAAAAAACCAGGCTGATGCACTCAAGCTTGAAAAAGTGGCACGACTAAAGAGAAGTGCCAAGCTGCACAATACAATTTATAATGTTTAAGAAATTATTCTACCTTATTTGTTTGTTAATTATTAAATGGTCATTACATTTAAAAAATTACTGTTGGGTTTTTCCTTTGTTTTTGACCCATGAGGAAAGCCCAAGTATTGAGCCCATTAAAAGTCTTCTTTGACTTTGTGTGTTTGGGAGCTAATAATCAGAAATATGGGTCAACCACTAACACACATTCGATGGACAGAAGGAGAGCAACAGATAAGAGCAAAAGTCACAAAACATGAGCTGAAATGCTCATCCCGTTTTTCAGCAGGCAGCAGCAGAAAACTTCCGTTTCCCGGAGATTGAACCGTTGGATCGTCGTGATTTTTGGACAGAAGCTTCACAGCATCTGGGCCAACATTCTGGACGGTGGAGATCGAGTTTTGAGGTCCGGAGGTCGGGTTTCGTTGGTCTGGACAGTAGCTATTTTTCTGGTGATATCTTTCTTATCTTGGCTCTATTTGATTCCATACACCTTGATGTGCTTACTTCCAAGGATATGATGAATGTGTATGCCTCTAGTATTATCTAGAGAAGACTTTGTACTGCTCCTTTGATGATGATGATAGTGGATTTAAGCGGCCAAAATGGTCCCGTGGTTTTTCCCTAGTTAACGGGTTTTCCACGCTAAAATTCCGGTGTTCGTGTGTGGTGTGTGCTTACTGTTTTAGCTGAATATATTGGTGTGTGGCAGCAACTTGTGTGTGTTCTAATTTCATTAAGAACACCCTATTTGTTTGCATCCTCAAAGATTCATTCAAGTTGGGGAAAGTTTAGCCAAACGGAGATTAATTCCGCATTTTATTAGTTCCGTTTGTGGCTGTTTTTCCCATCAATTACTTCTTTAAAGTCATAATCCGTTTAGATTATATAATGCTTTAGAGTTTAGATATTACTACTCTATGACTTTGGTGTTACACCCATATCAAGAGTCTAAAGAGAAGAGAGTACTCGTCGGTTCATCAAACTCACAATCACAATAATAAAAACAATTCTCTACTATATTTACTTCTATTTCTATAGTTCTATGTACTCAAATAGTCAAAGTATTTTTTATTTATGAATTGATCGATTTTCTCAGTCGTACATAGTTTTTTAAAACATATGTTATTTCCTAATTTGTCTTGCTTGACTGTGTCAATTTACTAAACTTATAGAATTCAATTTTGTTCTTTAGTTTTTTTTTTGTGTTTTAACTTACTATTTGAGAAGAGTCAGTCTTGATTTTATTTAAAATTTTGTATTACATTTTTTTAATTTTCGCACTATTGATTATATTCTTGACGTTTTTTTTACGTTAACGACAAAACTTGACGTTATTCTCATCGATTTGAACTTTATTTTTACATGGCTGATTGCCTGATTGTCATAAAATAATTTGGAGTTAGATATCATTTTATTTAGGGAAAAGGGTCAAATAGGCCCTTGAACTAACATAAAAAGGTCAAATAAGCCCTTATATAGGAGGTTCTGTTCGGTCGTCACCATTTGGGGCGGTTCCCGGTGGAATTTTTTGATTGATTTTTTGAGGATCTTATTCATGAAGTTTAGTTTACTCATGCCAAATTTAAGATACAACTTCAATCGGGAAGACATTCAAATGATAAAAACTACGCCCCAAACCCTTGGGGAAACCGCCGTTTTCTCTCAGAAGGAGATGAAGTGATGCGATTATTAAAAACAGTCAAATCGCGTGGTTGATATTAAATTGAAAAAATATGGATTAAGTAATAATGAATGATAAGTTGGTAATCACTCAAATATTACAAATATGATATGAGACAAATTTAATGAGACAAACAAAAAAGATAAAATGAAACAAAACTAGGGGAGCTAATAATTTATTTTTATTGTAGTGATTACTTGTAATACCTATGAATTCAAATTCTTTTACTCGAAAAATACTCTTAAATTGTGGAAGTAGGATTGCATATGTTAAATTACTCATTATTTATATCATTTAATTAGTACAGAGTACATAAAAAGACACATATGACCTGCCCTATTATGAAATTGTAAAATGTTTGGAAAGCGTGTATATCTCTATCCATTTCATAAAGGATGTTTTTACTTGGACTGTAATTTGTCCCAGACCAGACCATACCAGATAAGACCAGTTCAGACCAGCAAATTACAGTCCAAGTAAAAACATAAGACATAAATATAACTGTATTTTATATGATCATATCATAATTATATATGGATGCAAGTATTATTGTATTGTTCACCAATAATTATACACGCAATTACACAAATAAGATTTGCTTATAACATTTAACGGGCCGAATCAATCACTAAACAAATTAGTTTCGCCAATCTAGGAAACCAAGTCCAATCACAAACCCTAGTCCAGGTACAACAGTTCCCATAAAACATCTCGAATACACATTTTGCGAGAGTAGAACTTCCGAACATCCGAAGCTAGAGGGGTTCATATCCGCGGCAAAAATGGTACTGCAGAATTTCTTCTGAGTCTCTCTTACCCATTGGTCTAAACCCATACATAGTTCTGGTTACGCGTATTTGAGTTCACGTGGTGTTACATGTGTATTGATAGGGAAAAGGAACTGGAAGTTTTGGTAAGCGGAGGAACAAGACACACACACTTTGTGTGAGATGCGGCCGCCGCAGCTTCCACCTCCAGAAGAGCCGGTGTTCCTCTTGTGCCTATCCTGCTGCACGCATCAGAAAATGTACGCTCCATCTATCTTGTTATTCGTGCATCTTTAATTGGAATTATTATGTCTGAGTTGTTCATCTATGCTTATCATTTTTCTGTGATCATATCTGTATATTTCTATTCCCCTTTGATCCTTTTCCGACCTATTTAGCAAATTTGAAGTAAACAAAGAAGTTGCTTTCAGGGAAGTTATTTGCAATGATTATATTATCTATTTATGTGTAAATGTACAACATTACATTGATTTTAAATCTTTTTGTGTGGATTTCATTGTGTTGTATTTTCACTAGGAAACTCTTTTGTGCAGAAAAGTCTAATTAAATACTACGTAATAAAGTTCAACTTGAGTCTCAGTGACTCGTGTATAATGGGATTTATTACCCAGTTACGCCATATCAGTGTTTCGTAATCTTGGTGAGATATCATGAATAATAGGGGCATGTTTCATTAGTGTTTTCTTTCTAAATGTAGACTATTGGGCTCCCTTGAGGTCCTTAAGTAGTAAGGTACCCAGGTTTGCACCTCCTTGCCAGAGGAGGAATACATAATGCTCCATATATATGACGCGGTAGATATGCACCTATGGCCTGCCTATTCTGCATCCTAAAAGTTAATGGGATGTGTTGAGTTAGCAGAATAATAAGTGACCACAGAATGGTGGGATTTAATGATCCCCAGCTTTCATAAACAAGAATTGCTGGGGTCTCTGCCTCTCTGGATAGACCTGCCTTGATTTTAAAACACAGCATACCCTTATTCACCTCTATGCTAAGCTTCCTTCTGCTTTCTGCTGCTTGCAAATTTATCCTCACACCACTAGCTGCTGCCCACAACTTTACAGTTTACAACACTGCTTTGTTCCTGCAAGAGCCCTCTGATTTTTTTATAATGTTGTTTGTTGGTTTCTATATTCTTCTACTTCTCTCCTGGAGCCACATGCATATGTATGAGGTATTCTCTAAAATCCACCATGGGAAACCTTACAAATCCTTCCACCATGGCACGATATGAATTTGTTGGTTTGTCCCAATACACTAAGGGAGTTGGAGAGTAGATGTGCTTTAGGGTAAAATGTCACCCTTAAGGCATTCTTAGGCCCTAAAGTGCCTTAGGGAATTTAGTAGTTTTATAGGGTTGACCAAATTCATAAAGTGCCTAACAGCAGGCACCTAATTCAATAGGTGTGACTGAATTCGTAAAGGGCCTAACAGTAGGAACCTGAGTAGCATAGTGGCATGAGTCTATCGATGGCCACTAAACTAAAAGTGGGAATGTTCATGCATTGTTTTAAATTGCGCAATTCCTTGCTGCCTCAAGGCACTCCTTGGCATTTTTTTCTATTTACAATGGGATGCATATCCTACTTTATGCAATATATAGACTCACGCAATTGTAGCTGAGGCATTCAACTTTCTAGAAAAAAAACAAGGGAACATTCAATGGGGATGGAGAGAGTATGATTTACGAAAACCCAAGCGCCTCCTAGTTACCTTCGAACTGACCAGACACTGAGATGTGTACTCTGCTGATGTGAAGTAATTTGAAACTCAGAATCACTCTTTTAAAGGTTGTTTCCTTCTTCAGTTCAGTAGGTTTGCACTTGTGTTCTTCTTTTGATCAGAAACATAGCTTTGATTCCGTTATAATCACCCATCTTCTGACTCTGCCTCCCTCTTTTTTCTGATAATTTATTTTATCTCATCCGTAAACCTTTTTCTTTCTTTTCTAGTGCGTGTGATCCCCCTACCTTAGATAACACATTATTATGTTATTAATATTAATTCAATGGATAAATAGAGTTTTAGTTTTAAATATATACTCTCTCCTTATTTAATTGTTTGCTACACTTTCCTTTTTGTGATGCATTTTTTGCTACACTTCTCTTTCTTGGTAAGTTTCCTCTTAAAAATACTCGATTACCCTTACTTTTTTTACTTTTTATCTTTTTTATACCTTTTCATCATCTCTACTACCTTTTGTGCACTATTCATTACCTTACTATCCCTTACACATTGTGCCAAACCTTATTGTTGCAAACATTTGAATACGGAGGGAGTATATGCATACATGCATGGCAGCCTTATTTCTAGGATCTTACGATCCGAGTCACAATCACTGAGTTATGATCTGTTAGACCCCTTCCGATCCGATCTAGGATCTTGAGTTTAACAACCTCGCTCTCTACCAAAGACAATGATGATTTAAAAATACCATAAGTCATTAAAAAAGTATAAGAAGTACAAACAAATTTATTTTTATATATAATTTGACTTCCAACCTGATATATGGTATTTTCATATAATTTGATTTGCAAACCTGATCATGGATTCAAGTCATTCAACCTTTTGTGCTCATTATTAAGCTACCACTTTACACAAGGAAACCACCAAAACAGCAACACAAACTACAATGTAGAGTCATATACTTATATAAACGTGAACTAGGCATACTAGATTACTAGTCATACAGGCTTGCACCAAAATAAAACATCACTAAATTGGTCAAGGTAAGTAAACATGTAGTCATGCAAACAAACTATCAGAAACTGCTATATATCAAGGCAAGTAACATATAAAAAAGATTAGGCAAGGTGATAAAAGGTCTGGAGAGCAGAAGAGTGGAAAGTTTGAAACCATTGAAATGTCTGCATCTTTGTGATGGAGCAGAAAAGCAGCGGAGTAGATAGATGCATGGACATAGAAAGAGATAAAGAAAAGGATTGGTAAAATGAGGATGGCAAGAATAAAAAAACTGGAGTGAAACAATCACCGACCTGCATTTTCGCGTAGAGAAGAGAATCAGAAGCTGAGAGTTTTATTTGTGAGAAAAGAAGAGTTGGAGCTGTTATGCAAAGCGTACAAGTAATAAGACTCCCATAAATCATATGAATTGTAAAACCTTACAATACCCAAGAGGTGGAGGAGGCGCCCACCTCCTGATTTGTGAAATGTGGCTGGATGCTAAGGATTGAGAACACCTGTTTTAATGTGCTGCGTCTAGGTTAGCCTTTGTGATTTTTTATCACCTTGCGCCTAGATGTTCCCTAGGTGCACTTTTTTAAACTAATGGGTGGAACAATACATTATGGGTCTTACAGTCCTCCTTATCATCATTGTGGTATATCATGGATCTTACAATCCTCCTTATCATCCCTAGGTGCGCTTTTTCAAACCAATGGTATATTTATCACCTTAAGGATTTGCAACAGAAATTGAACTTAAGAAATTCGGGCACTGGCTGCAGGCCTGCAGCCAGTGCAACTTATAAGTACCATTTGTTGCTTTGTTACTACCATATATTCACTACAGCAAAATGCTTGCCTGAAGTTTCCTATTTGTAAAGTTTTACTCACTTCTCACAGTTCTGATAGAAGCAGGAGTAAAGGGGATGATGACAGAAGTGCTATTAAGTTCTATGACCACGTGTACCAAAGGAGAAAAAAAAAAGACTTAGCTAAAGAACTATTTGAGCTGGCCAGTTAATTAGTTTGCGGGTACCAACTGTTTGGGGAGGAAAAATTTGTAAATAAATAGCAACAGGGAGAAATTGTAAGGCAGGCTGTTTGACAGTTAGAAATTGGGTCTTGAGAGCCTGGCGCTCTTGAAATTGCCTAGACTGTTCTCTGTAATTCTCTGCTTGTGAATATTGAATTATGTAGATTTCCGTTACCTAACAAGTCCTCTGGGTGTATATCTGCATATGCATGCATGTATTCGGATGTTTTTACTTGGATTGTAATTTGCTGGTCTGGTATGATCTGTTTGGTCTAGTAAAAGTCTGGTCTCTTTTATATCTACAGAAGTTAAGTCTGATCTAGTCTGTTTAAGTCTGGTTTGGTCTGTTTTAAGTCTGGTCTGGGTGTGGGACTGAAAATAGACCAAGTAAAAACATCCTTACTCCATATTTGTTTCCTTTTTAGTGCCTGTAATATGTCTGTAACTCTATATTTCCCAAATTAGGGTAGAAACCAACTCACACATTGAGTTCTCCTTTAATACACTCGTTTGGGCTCAATAAATTATATTTGGCTGAATCCGCCTCAAAACAAAGCGGCCCCGGTAATAGTGATATCAGGACGGTGGTAGTATTTTTGTGATTTCTTTTCAATCGTGTTTTCGATATTGTTCCCTCTTAATTTGATTTACTTTTTTTTTCTGCTCTATATTATACATATGCTGTTTGGACTTGGTTTTCATTATCATCTTTGTGCATTATATTATTTTAGATAATTGGAGTGTAAAAGCAATCAGGAGAAAGACTACTGGAACTGGTCGAATGAGGTATCTCCGCAATGTGCCCCGCAGATTCAAGTCCAACTTCAGAGAAGGTAAAAAACCAAAATTCGCTTTTAGAACTTTAGCTACACCTGGTATTTACATAATCTAATGCGTTGCAATGGAATCAAAATTGTAATGCAATGAAATTAAATGTGATTCAGTGCTATGTTTTGTTAAATGAGTAACATAATGAAACTTTCAACTGTTGGTGCCACTACAACCACCCCATTATTCAACTTTTTGATTTTTTTTTGAATTCATCTTAAAAATTCAGATCTTTTTTCTTTATATTTTTATCATACATATTGTTTTATGTTTATTAGAACAATAAAAACTGTCTCATGGGTCTCTACTCTTCTTTGTTATGTAAATGGGCACTTTGTTACTTTATTAGTAGTGATGCTATCTCAAAAACATACTACCTCCGTTCTTTTTTTTTTGGAAAGAATACTCCCTCCGTTCTTTTTTATGAAAGAATACTCCCTCCGTTCTACGATCTTTGTCTACTTATTATGCAGTTAAGTTATTTCTCACATTTGTATAAATTTCAAATTATGCAGCTTTTTACTTTATTATTCCATGTGCATTTGGAGAGGATGTAAAATGTCTAAAGATAAAATGTCCTGCCAAACATACTCTTTAAATCTAGATGTAATACTCATGACATGAAGAAGTTAATTGAGTCATACCAAACAAGGCATTCAATTTTGGTGTTGATATTTTGTCATCAATTTGTTTGTTTATGTTGTCTGCTTGTGTGCATTTTAGGAACGGTGGCAACTCCAAGGAACAAGGGAGCTGCAGTAGCCTCTTAAATTTCATCTTTGCTTGTAAGCCATTGTCGTCAACAGGGAGTGACTTGTTTGCACGTAGATTCTGTACTCTCTTATTCAAACAATACAAATATTGACTTTGAACTTTTATGTTCCCCTAACGTTAATGTGGTAGGTGGCAAAAAAAAGACGTTAAAAATTTGAGCAACTGCATTGAAACTTTTAATCAATTTTATATATGAAGTAGACATAAATATTAAGTTTTTATACTTATGTGTTGAGTATTTCTGTATTTTATCATAGGCACTATTTATGTTTTGGGGTCGCAATTTTTTGTTCGCATCCTTCCATTAAAGGATGGTTTTTCACTTTTTTGGTTCCACAACCGAAGTTCGACAAAATTAGAAATGCATGGCTCGTACAACTGTGCAATCTTTACCTCATGAGTGTCAACTTTGGGATATTTTGGAGACTTTCTCTATTTAGCCCATTAGTTTAAGTAAAGATTATACAGGAACGATTATACAAACTTATAAAGTTCCCATTTATGTTTGGGTTTCTGGGAATCTTATTCCAAGGAATTTCTTAATTACGAAGGCCGTGAAAAAGCAAGATTGAAGTTTTGTTAATCAAGTTTGGTTGGTAGTTGCTATAAAAAAAAAGTTTGGTTGGTAGTTGGTTCAGTCAAGGTTAATGGGGAATTTCTAAATAGAAACAGGTAAACTACTTTGAAAAACAATACAAAGAATAGTTCAAAGACATAAACTAAACAACTAGTTGGTCAAAGTTGATATCTTTTGGCCGAAAAAAACTTAAGAGAAATTGGCAACAATACAATATAGTGAAAATAGTGTCACCAATACATGAGAGGTGATCGGCCCGATAAATAATTAATTAATCCCAGACTAGTCAAATTGTGTCTTGGGCCTAGGCTTGGGGATAGGGCCCAGGCATGGGTATACCGATGATACTATTGGATGCAATTCATTATGCCAATATGAGCCGCCCACTCTCTTAGTCGATTGGTAGACTTGGTTAAAAGCGAGTAGTTGAGTTGCTTTGAAATTGGCCCGGTCATTGGATATTTGGATTGGTTAGTTGGAAGCATAGTTTCTTCCATTGATTCCATTACTTGTGAAAGGATGAAGTTTTCCTTGCTTGAATAGCCGCTTGGGGTCCTTGTTGTCCGTTTAGTAGCTTGAGATTCCATCCTAAAACTAAAAGGTTAGCCCGATATGAGGAGTAGTCAAGATCTTAATACAATGCTTAATTGTTTTAAAGATATCCGGTGTGGGACAACATCACCCCTCCTTGCGACCAGACACTTTTTGGATTGTGTTGTTATTCATTTTTCATTGGTTCGTCATTGTTATTCTTTTATATAATTGTGGTTTCACTTTTCATAAGAGGACCCACACCATGAATTGATTTGGCTTTGATACCATTTTAAAAGATCAATCTAATAGAGTGAGTAGCCAAGATCTTAATATAATGTTCTTTATAAATATATTCTTTTTAAATATGTTCTTTATTGACCCCATCAATGCATGCCGTAACGCGCGGAGAACTTCATTAATAGTTAGGTTTCAGGTATGCAATGACTAATAACAAAGTCTAGAAAAAATTTGGCATTTTTTTGTCAGCCCATTTTTATGCATAAATGGTTGTACGTGATTTGATGTTTGTGATATGTGACTGAAGAGAACGACCATTTTCCTTCCTTTCCTTCAAAAAAAGAACGACGGACAAAGTGAGTGTTGCCTTTTATATACAAAGGATTTTAGTAATTTGTAACTTTCCTTGACAATTTCATGGAAATACATGCACATATATTTAACATTTAATTTTTTCAATTTATTTCTTATTATGTTACTACATCCATAAACTTATTTATGATTTTATTCAATTTTTTTAATAAATTGGTCATTTTGACTGTTATTTTTTTTTTTATTTATATAGTTGCTTCTAAACTTTCATATAGGTACTACACGTGGTGGAGCAACTAGTACAAAATAAAATCCTCACTTGTAACAAGATTCTTGGATATATAAAGAACTAATGCTGATAATATGTTAAGAAAATTAACAAGACAAAAGACACGGTCTACAATATAAGAAACTAGCTATATAGAAGAAATCGTAGCAAAATAAAGACACCAATTTTATTCAGAATTTCACTTGTAGCGAAACAAAGAGAAAATTTTATTCATATATTCACCTATAACAAAACAAAGGCATAAATTATACGGAGTAATACAATTTATAACCCCTATTAACTGGAAGCGGAAGGGCCTAGCATCGTCTAGGATTAGTTTTGGCCTTTGGGAGTGGCGGCCGGATTCTCCACCGATCGTGCGGCTCGTGTGACTGACGGAAAAAGTCTCTCAATTCCATAGGAGGTTGTGAGCAGGTTTCCGATCTCTCGTGACAGGTTCTTTGTTGGCTGGGGCACTTATCGTGAACGAAGGATTGGTTGGAGTGTGGCGATTGATTCACGGCAACAGTAGCAATCGGAAAGGATCGATTCACTAATTGGTGCTCTGGTACTTCACGACAAGGCAATAAACAAAGCTTGTCAAGGGCGGCTGATTTACTTCTCTAGCAACGTGTTTAATTTTCCTTTGGCTGAAAGTAATTTGTGCCAAATTCAAGCAGGGATTTGCGGATAGTGCTCTGTTGTACACATTGTACTGCTTGATTTCACCTAGGAGGGATGGCTTGGATGGGAACCAGGATTGAAGTGGAGAGGACGAACCTGGTTCTTCATGGAAGAGGAGGGTCTAAGGATGACGGCACTAGGGTTCTTCGGCTGAGTTTGGTGGAAGAGGGAGGGCTGGTGATTCGTCCCCTTCTGAACCGCCGCCTTGGAAAGATCGAGATGCCAAGATTTGGTGGAAGATGAAGTTTTCAGAAAGAGTTTGGAGTTTTTACCAGTTATTTCATTTTTTGTGGGTGTCTTTTAGTGTTTTGCTTAATTACGCTGTTCCGTTTTTTTATTAATTTCTTTAGTTTTAGGCCTAAAATAATGATGGACAATTCTGCTAGATATTATATTGTTATAAGGATCGATATATAGTAGTTAGTGCTGGATACCCGTTTGGTGGTTAGCGATTCGTATCGCTCTTTCAAGGGTGGTTGTTTCTATGTCTAGCCGTAGGGTCAGAGTTTGTGGTTGTCAGTATGGATGTATTTGAGTTTGATGTAACGATCCGAACCCTAATGATATTAAAATAAGCAGTTTTCCTTTCAAAAAACCCCTATTAACTAAGGAGTCTCGATCATAAGCATCATTTATAACATTATTTAATATTGCTTTATTGCAATGTGTACTTTATCACTACATGTTTGATCATGCTTCGCATACATCATTTGATAAATTAATAATCCTAATCATTTATTAGAGATAAAACCAAAATGGGATGTTCCAATCGGTCCATGAATTGGACAACTTTGTTCTCAAACCTCAAAAATAATTCATCCATGAGTCCTCCGAGCTGTGCTTTTAAAAGAGGTTCAAAGACTGATCTTAGGAACACTCCTCTCTTTCTTACATCCACCAAAGAGTACAAATCATTATCAGTTCCATCTTCATTGAGGTTGGATCCATCCCAACATAATCTCAAACTCTCTGTGAAGATGGAACTGATAACTGCTAAAAGTAAAATATAATTATAACCGCTAAAAGTAAATAAGTCAAAATTTTATCCATTATACCTATGATGGTTGGAAAATAGGAAGTTTTTTAATAAGATAAGCTGATCAACAATTGAGGAGAGGAATTTTGTCTTTCATACGTAATGCTTTTAGTTATAAGATAAACCGGCTAACAATTGATCACGAGAATTTTATCTCTCATATGTAGTTGTTTTAGGTATAAGAAGATAAGCTTGCTAATAATTGAGCGTGATAATTTTCTCTCATATGTAGTGTTTGTAGGTATTAGAAAATAAGCTTGCTAATAATTGAGTGGAGAATTTTCTCTCTCACATGTAATGCCTCTAGGTATTAGAAGATAAATTTGGTAACAATTGAGTGTGTAATTCTTTTATGTATAAGAAGATAAGCCGGATAACAATTGAGCGGAAGAATTTTGTCTCTCATATGTAGTGCTTTTAGTTATAAGATAAGTCGGTTAACAATTGAGCGAGAGAATTTTATCACTACTCATGTGTAGTGGTTTTAGATATAAGAAGATAAATTTGCTAATAATTGAGCGGGAGAATTCTCTCTCACACATGTAGTGTTTCTGCGTATTAGAAAATAAGCTTGCTAACAATTGAACAGGGGCGTTGAACGGGAGAATTTTCTCTCTCATTTGTAGTTCTTTTAGGTATTAGAAGATAGAAGATATGTTCACTAACAATTGTTCAAAATAACTTTCTCTCTTATATGTAGTTCTTTCAAGTATAATATAGGCTGACTAACAACTCAGAGGAAGAATTTTATCTCTCATATATAGTGATTTTAGTTATAAGATAAGTTAGATAACAATTGAGTGTGAAAATTTTATTTCTCATATGGCGTAGTTTTAGGTATAAGAAGAAGACAAGCATGCTAATAATTGAGAGGGAAAATTTCCTCTCTCATATGTAGTGCTTCTAGATATTAGAAGATAAGCTTGATAACAATTGAGCGAGAATATTGAGCAGGAGATTTCCTCTCTCATAAGTAGTGCTTTTAGGTATTAGAAGATAAGTTTACTAACCATTGATTGAGATAACTTTATCTCTCATATGTTCTTTTAAGTATTCCTTATAAGATAAGTCGGCTCACAATTGAGCGGGATAATTGTCTTCCTCATATGTAGTGCTCTTAGGTATATGAAGATGAAAATGAAGATGAAGATAAGAAGATAAGTTTGCTAACAAATGAACGGGAAAACATTCTCTCTCATATGTAGTTCTTTTAAATATGATGATGATAATTCAGCTAACAATTGAGCGGGGGAACTCTCTCTCACATATGTAGTTCTTTTGAGTATGATAATGATAATCCAGCTAACAATTGAGCGGGAGAATTTTCTCTCTCATATCTACTGCTTTTAGGTATAAAGAAAATAAGTCAGCTAACAATTGAACAGGAAAATTTTCTATCTCATATATATGTAGTGCTTTTAGATATAATATGATAAGCTTGCTAATAATTGAGCGGCAGAGCTTTATCTCTCATATTTAGTCTTTTTAGGTACTAGAAGATAAACATGCTAATAATTGAATTGGAGAATTTTCTCTCATATATGTAGTTCTTTTAAGTATTAGATAAGCCGGCTAACAATTCAGCGAGACAATTTTCTCCTATATTTAATTCTTTTAGGTTGTGTTAAGATAATCGGACGTACCGGGTGGTTCGACCCGAATCTCGGCCGGCCACCCCGTCCCAGAACCGGTCCGATTGAGTGTAAACCTGCAAATATGCACACAATTGGAATTAACCGCAACATAGTTTTTTGGCATAAGATAAGACGACTAATAGTTTAGCAGGATAATTTTCTTTATCATATGTTAGCACTAATTTGACTCATGAGTATCAAGTTCTTATTTAACTAATATCATTAATTTTAATATTTATTGTAGTCACTTAAATTTTATGTCACTCACTTATTGTACTCACTTTTTTAGAATAATATATAATTTTAAAATCAACTTAATCATGAAAATTCATAAGTAGCAAATTCTAATGAGTGTTGTCAATTAACTTTCCCTTATTATATGGGCTTATGCTTAATTGTAATAGCTCATTATACTCTAATTATTTTTGAAAAGTTATTTTTATTTTAATATTTAATTAGATCATGTGTACAAATATATGCACCAACTGCTCTTTCCCGTGCGTACGCACGGGTACTATACTAGTTTTGGATTAAAAAAATCATGTCAATATCGTGCTGAAAAAATTAAACAAGACAATAAACATAGCAGTTAGACGAACTCATGGCAAAACAACGTACAACACGACTTTATTCATAACTTCACTCATAATAAAACAAAGAGATAAACTTGTACGTAGCTATACCTTTGTAACCCCTGAAACTAAGAGCTAGTCCATCAAGGAGATTACTCAGGAGTCTAAATATTATACATAATCGTTTTAAATATTATACTGTTTTATTGAAATGTTGAATTTACCCATACATGTATGATAATATTTTTCATACATAACTTGATAAATTAATATTCCCAATCAATTAACAAAGAGAGACAAAACCAAAATAGGATATTCCAATCGGTCCATGAATTGGGTAACTTTGTTCTGAAACCTAAGAAATAGTTCATCCATGAGCCCTTCTCCAAGTTGTGCTCTCAAAATGGGCTCAAAGACGGATCTAAGATATTTGGTCAAGAACACGCCTCTCTTTCCAACGTCCACAAAACGGTACAAATCATTATCAGTTCCATCTTCATTGAGGTTCGATCCATCCCAACACATTCTCAAACTCTCTAATCTTTCAATTGTAAATGACCCCTCTTCCTGAATTATTTTTCTCATTTCCTTTTCGGTTGGGTGATATATTGGAATTCTCAAGCTCTCCAGTTTTCCCATTTCAATCATACCCTGCACCCAAACACAAACTTATCATATACTACGCATTTTTTTGAACTCGGCACACATTTCTAATACAGATGATTAATATTATCGGTTGAATTTAGGTCATAATTACTAGAGATGATTAATATTATCGGCACATAATCTCTATTGAGATTTTAAGATCAATGTCTTCCACTATTTCAGTCATATCTTTCGATCGGATCGTTCAAATGTAGTGAATCAAGTTGTATTGGATAGAGGACTTCAAGATCTACAACTTTTGTAAGGGGTATATAAAATTTACAATTTACAAAAATTTAGAAACAAGTTTTGTGAGACGCACACGATTGCACGCACGTCATGCAGGAAAATGTAACAGACCATGCCAAGTCAGCAACAGAATTAGGCAGATTCTGTTAGTTGTAAACTGTTAGTGTATTTTTACTATAAATAGCAAGTGTAAATAAAAAAGAAGCAGCTTGTATCTTCTTCCAAAACTCTCCGTTCTCTCTCTGTAAAAGCTTGAGCTAATAAAATGGCAATTGTTTTCTCTATCTTGTCCGAATTCTTTTCTTATTAAATTGGAATTCCTGCAAGTAGATAGCTAAACTTTCGGATTGAATTCCCTGAGTTGTAGCAATTGGTATCAGAGAAGGTTCTACGTCCACCATTAACGCCCTCAGAAAAGCTTCGCAAAATTCACCCTGGCTAAGAAGATTTCGGTGGCAGCTCTTTCCGTAATCATGGAGGATAAAATGGCTGAGTTTGAGAAACAATTAGAAGAGCAAAACTTGAAAAGTGAACAGAAATTTGCAGAAACGCATCAAAGGTTGGATGCCTTGATTCAACTTATCCAGAAGAAATTTGAACAGGATGATCACCATTCAGTTCACTCGCAATCAGTTCGCAGCACTCATTCACCTCACATTCACTCTGTTAATGGAGGTAATCACTCAAGAACTCTTGGATTTGTGCCTAAAATTGAATTTCCCATATTCAATGGTAGTAATCCTAGGGTTTGGATCCAGAAGTGTGCCAAATATTTTGAGCTATGCAAAATTGAGAATAACCAGAAGGTGGATTTGGCATCTCTCTATATGATTGACAGGGCTGAGGCTTGGTTTAACAGTTATATCTCTGTGCATAAATCTGTAACCTGGGAACAATTGGTAATAGACATGTGTGCTAGGTTTAATGAAGAAATCGGTAGTTCGGTGGTGGAAGAATTCAATAAGCTACAACAGAGTGGTTCTTTGGATGATTATCTGGATGCTTTTGAACATCTCAAAAGTTTGATGTTACAAAGAAATAGTCTATTACCTGATCAATATTTTCTTGATAGCTTTATCGGTGGTTTAAAGCCTACTGTGAAACCCTTTGTTAAGGCCTTCAAACCTCTCAACTTAGCAGATGCAATTGAGTATGCCAGGTTACAGGAGAAGAGCCTTTCTGCCCTCAAAATTCAGCAAAAACAAGTTGGGGAGAAATCTCTTTTCAGATCACCAACCAACACTCCAGTAAACAATCACTTGAAGCAACCCCCACTTATCTCCCTCAACCCTAATACATACTCAAATACAACTCAATCCCACATGAAAAACAATCTGAGTTACAAAAAGAAACCCCCCCTACCCATAGATGTGGAAGAAAGAAGAAGAAAGAATTTGTGTTTCTATTGTGATGAGCAGTATGTCCCAGGGCACAAGTGTAAGTCTCAGCTATATCAAATCCAGATTGTACCTCTTACCAATAAAGGAAGTGAATTAGAGGAGCCTGAGTGGGAACAATCAGTAGCTGAAGGGTCGGGTGATTATTCAAGCAAGGAAACAGAGCTGACCCGAGAAGAACAACCCCTTATATCCTTGAATGCTATCTCAGGTCAGAACAATTTTCAGACCATGAGAGTAACAGGAAGAGTGAAAAATAAGGAGTTGCATGTGCTTATTGATTCAGGTAGCACTCACAACTTCTTAGACATCAACACTGCCAAGAAATTGGGTTGTAAAATAACAAATTCTTATCCTTTGGAGGTTTCTGTTGCAAATGGGGATAAGATTATAACCACAAAAGTTTGCAGGCAGTTTAAATGGACATTACATGGTGTAGAGTTTACTACTGATACAATGTTAGTAACACTGGGAGGTTGTGAAATGGTCCTTGGAATCCAATGGTTGGCTTCCTTAGGACCAATATTATGGGACTTTGAAAAATTGCAAATGGAATTCCAATATCTCGGAAGGAAAGTGGTGTTAAGAGGAATAAAAGGTGGCCGGCTGCAGTGGATGAATGGAGAACAAGTTGGGACTGTAATGAAAAAGGAAGGGAAGAACTGTACTGGGGAGCTATTTGTTATACAAGGGCAGACAATGGCACCAGAAATTAAAGAACCTCTCTCTGAACATATTCCTGAAGTTATTAATAACATACTAAGACAATTCGAGGATGTGTTTGAAGAACCTAAACAGCTTCCCCCTCACAGAGAGCAGGACCATCAAATTCATCTTAAATCAGGAACCAATCCTATCAATGTGAGGCCTTACCGATATCCAGTGATTCAAAAAGATGCTATTGAACAAATTACTCAGGAAATGCTATCCAGTGGGATTATAAGAAACAGTAAGGGTCCTTATTCTTCCCCGGTTGTTCTTATAAAGAAAAAGGATGGGAATTGGAGATTTTGCATAGATTATAGAGAATTGAACAAGCAAACAGTCAAGGACAAGTTTCCTATTCCTGTGATTGATGAGTTGCTTGATGAGTTGCATGGATCAACCTATTTCTCAAAGATTGACCTAAGGTCAGGATACTGACAGATTAGAATGCATGAGGAAGATATTGAAAAAACTGCATTCAGAACACATGAAGGACATTTTGAGTTTGTAGTAATGCCATTTGGTCTTACTAATGCTCCTTCCACATTTCAAAGCCTCATGAATGATGTCTTTAAGCCATTTTTGAGGAAGTTTGTACTTGTTTTCTTTGATGATATTTTAATATACAGTCCCGATCTGGAGTCCCATGCCTTGCATCTGCAACACGTTCTACAACTACTAAGACAGCATGCCTTATATGCTAAGAGAAGCAAGTGTTTCTTTGGTGTAATGAAAGTGGAGTATCTAGGTCATATCATTTCTGGTAAAGGGGTGGCAACTGATCCTTCCAAAATACAAGCTATGGTGGAGTGGCCTATTCCTACAAATATCAAAGAGTTGAGAGGTTTTCTGGGATTGACTGGATACTACAGGAAGTTTATTAAAGGTTATGGGTTACTGAGCAAGCCCCTTACTAATCTACTCAAAAAAATGCCTTTGTATGGAGTGATGAAGCTAAACAAGCCTTTGAACAGTTAAAGAAAGCAATGTGTGAGGCTCCTGTACTTGCCTTACCTGATTTCACAACTGAATTTGTAATTGAAACTGATGCGTCAGACAAGGGAATTGGTGCTGTGCTAGCTCAAAAAAATCATCCTATTGCCTTCCTTAGCAAGGCTATGGCAGAAAAGCACAAGGCATTATCTACATATGAGAAAGAGTTGTTGGCTATAGTTTTGGCAGTGGAGAAATGGAAACCTTGCCTGGTGGGGCGACACTTTATAATTAAGACTGATCATTTTAGTCTTAAATACTTATTGGAGCAGAAAATTACAACTACATTCCAAAGCAAGTGCTTACCTAAGCTACTTGGATTGGACTATGAGATTCTATACAGGAAAGGACAAGAGAACCTTGCAGCTGATGCGCTATCAAGGATAAATGGGGGGGAATTACAAGCTGTAACATTGACTCAAATCAGATCTGGTCTTTTGCAAAAGATTCAGAAGAGCTGGGAGGAAAAAGATTGCAAGGATATCATTCAACAACTACAGGAGGGCACCATACAGAATAGTAAATATTCCTGGCAGAATGGAAACTTACTAAGAAAGGGAAAGCTCGTGATAGGAAATGATTCTGATCTGAGAGCTGAAATAATTTCCCTAATGCATCACTCATCACTTGGGGGTCATTCTGGAATTCAGGCAACTTATCAAAGAGCAAAGGCACTATTTTATTGGAAAAAGATGAAAAGGGATATAAGGCACACAATTAAGGAATGCATTGTTTGTCAGAAAAACAAACCATTATTGGAAGCACCAGCTGGATTGCTGCAGCCTTTACCCATTCCAGAAGCAGTGTGGGTCAATATTTCAATGGACTTTTAAATATCATATTATATGATTTTGAGATTTTTTATCAATATTTTAAAATAATTTCAAATACTCTCTCCGTCTCAAATTGAGTTGCAAGATTGATTTTTTGGATCAAACATACTCATTTCATTAACTTAATTAGAAAATCAATTCTTAATTAAATGTTAATATGGACTTTGCAACTTTATAGAGATTTTCATGTAATTTCTAGATATGTAAATTTTAATTATTAAAGTTATATTAATTATCACTCGGGAGGTAGTATCGTACTCCATTCGTCCATTAAAACTTGATCAAATTTCATTTTTTGACCGTCCCAAAAATTTTGTCATCTTCGTTTAAAGTTATAACAAGCATGTGGCAAAAATTGTTTTTCTCTCCTCTCCTCTGCACAAATATCAATCAAACAATTTTTACTTTATTATTCTATATGGAAGAGAGGAAGTAGGTATTATATGTTTCTGGAAAAAATCACCCCTTCATCATAATGGATCTCTCCCTGCCTATGCATGTCCATCTCTACCACTTTAGAAAAGTTATGAATCAGCCACTGTCTTGATGAAAACGCGTGCCAGCTAATAGGGTCTTCATAATTTCATTTCTTGGAGTATTCTTTTACTGGAATCAAGTATTGTGCATTTCTGATTCCCCAAGAAAAAGTTCAGAAATTTTATCTTTTCAGGTAAATACGTACGTAAGTAGAAATATATACATAAATGAACATATATAATTACGTACCTCCAAAGCCATATCTATGATTACTTGACGTAAGATGCCTGGAGTACTTATGAAATCAGAAGTGTCATAACTGCCTATTAGAGTTAGAAACATGGTCCCCCCTGGGACTATTTCCTCATGACGTGATCTCAAGAACAACTTCAAGTCTTCCTTAAATTGAGCCTTGTAAGATGGTGGATTTATGCTTGTCAAATAAACATTGCTTCCCTCTTTATCAACTGGTAGTTCTATTTCTCCCCTCATCTCTTTGGGAGCCTGCAGCTTATTTATAACAATAAGTTACTATATCAACCAAACCTAGACCAACTTTGGAATGTAGATGTATTTCTTTTTACCCTAGGGGGTTGGGGAAGGGGAGGGTTATCGGGGTGGAGCCAGGCACTGGGCCACACTGGCCGGTACAAAGAATATTTTTGAAAATTTTTTACACAGAATTTTTTACAATAAAAACATAGACATTTTTTAAATTTGGGCTGGGCCGGGGCCAGCGTTGGCCCCCTAGCTACGCCCCTCGCGGGGTAGTCTTGGATAAATAGGACTGAGACTGCTAACATGAAATTTCGAACACGAGACCTCCCATATGGGAGAGTGAGTCGCTGATCGGTGAGTTAGACTGCTTCCTTAATAATAATTACAAGGTTAAGCATTAATAAAAATATGATAAAAGAATGTTGGGATAATTTGAATTTGCACCCCATTTTATTGTCCAAATTAGACTTTGCACCCTGTTTTTGAAATCATTCGTATTTGCACCCCAACCCTATATGGAAAGATATAAATGAATGCCCCTCGATCAGGAATATGTTGAAGGCCAACAAAATTGTTAATTGAGGGACATTTTAGTCATTTCATACGGGGTTGAGGTGCAAATACTAAAAATTTCAAAAACGGGGTGCAAAGTCTAATTTCGACAATCAAATGGGGTGCAAACTTAAAATACCCCAAGAATGTTCTAAATACAAATTTACAATAATGTTATTATTCATAAAATCTTTAAAGAAATATTTTATAAATATTAAATTGTATTTACAAAACTAGTCTATTGTTAAAATACTCATGATCTATACGAGTAATTAACTATTGTCGTGATTAGAAAATACTACCAATTATATTACCATATTATAGTAGTAAAAACCTGTTAAGATCTAGGGTTTCCATCTTGCCAACCTCATAGGAGGAGTGTCCTAGGATTTATATAGTGCTTTATATTTTCATGCTATTATAGTGAGAGACATTTACGTCCCTTAACCTAAATCGGGAGGAATAATATGAAATGTATAAATGAGTCAAACAAACTCTTAACAAGTTGGGTGATTTAACAACATACGGGAATTCTCAACATCCCTTGCCAAATTACGGGGAAAAAATTAGGGTTTCCAAAAAGCGGGAGTCGGATACACCAATTCCGACGAGGTGTATATTTTATTTTTTAAATTTAGTTTTATTTGTAATGAAGTGATTTGAAAAAAGGGTCTGAAAAAAGTTCGGATTTTTAATAAAATGCTTTAAATTCCGAATTGGCACCATCCCTTTGAATGATTTTTTTAATTAAAAAAAGTCAATTTTTTGGAATTGAAGTAATACATACCGTGCAATTTATTTAAAATGAATAAATAAAAAAACATTGATTACTTTATTTTATTTTTTATTTCATTCCCATTGCTAAACACAAGTTACCCTGCAAGTAATCTAGATGCACAGTCTAGACGCAACATATACCAAGTTCTTATATTTTGGCAATTTTCCCCAAATTAATCTAATTTTGGAACTTCTTTAATTGTTTGGAATTTAGATACATGAAATTATGGAGTATTGGACTTGTTACTTGTGTTACATGTGCACCACTATGTTGTTATTTTCAAACTTGCTAATGTCCTATATTATTGATTACTTATTTTTGGAACTTCGTAAGTTTTTACTAATTTTAAGACACAGGAATCGAAACCGTAAAACCCGGACGGGTCCGACCCGTTTCAAACGGACTGGGTGAGGTCCGGTTCCTATTTTGAAAATTGCAATATCCGGACCGGATCGAACCGTACAATGGAACCGGCGGTTCAATTTTATTTTGCATTACTCGCCCCGACTCGGCCCGTGCCCAGCCCTAAGTAAAAATTTTCAAATTAAGCGGGTGATGTATGACCTATCCGAATAAAATTTCCAAAACATAAGTATTTATTTTAGATTTTTAAATAGTTGCTCAAAATTGCCATTTTTTTATACTTGGAATTTAAAAAAATCGATCCAACCTTGTCGGAATTGGCTAATCCGACAGTAGTCACGAAATAGGCTAATCCGAATAGGCTAATCCGACCAGAAGTAGTCACGAAAATAGAATCCGACTCCAGTATTTTTGTAACCTAATTAGGATAGATTCCCGTGTTTTGGCTTGTCACACATAAAGCTCCCGTATTTTTGTAATTTCCTCTTAACAAGTTACCATGTCATAGGTGCTAAACAAACATTCAACCCATAATCAGACTTAACTCTGATACCATATTAAGAGATAGTGACTCTGATATATACCATATTAAAACCTTGGGTTCCATCTAAAAGGTCGAGATTTATATATTGTTTTATTATTTCATACCATTTAGGTGTGGGAAATTTGTTCTACAAGTAAAAGTGTGTAGGTGTGACCTGAGTGAGCCAGTGGACGGCAAAAGAAGAATGGAAGAAATGTATGGAATGGGAGGGGAAGAGTCTGCCAAAGAAGCTCCCAGGCGTTGCATTAAAGAAACACAGCCCATCAGACTTTGTCCTGATCTCTTTGTGTAATTCAGGTACCACTTTGAACAGTGCATTAAAATCGTTCCCAAACAGATCGTTTAGGAAAACTTGAAAAGTTGCAGGAAGCTTTTCATCACTGCTCATAATCATGGCTTCTTCTTCTGCTACCATAGAAATCATGTCCATGATGTTGGATGCAGCCTTTAATGCATTAGCTCCCGACGAACACCCCAAATCTGCAATTCTTAAACAGCTTGGAGAAGTGGCGATTCTTTGGAACATCTTCTTTATGCTTTCTTCCATGATTGGTTTGGCTCTCATCGTCACTTTTAGCTGGTAATTAGTAAACACATGCATGAACGCTAATTACTATCTTATACTACGTATAAGTATAATGAATATACATACTCCATTGGTTTGCTTGATTGGCGATGGTAAATTAAAGTTAAATACTCCCTCACGACATTTGGATTATTTTTAATATATACTCGTAATTAATATTTATGTATTTACATACTACACTATTAGTTTTATAGTCATAAAATTGGAATTCAAAATGATAAAACTTTATTTTATAAAATTTGAGATTAAAGGAAAATCAAGTTGACCGCACGGACAGTGAATATGAAGTTTAAATAAAGAGCTAGAGCGGTACTATTATGTAAAACAATAATTTTTTTAAATGTTTTTCCTAAAATGTTATTAATAGAAAATTTATCAATTGATAAAAAAATGTGACCATAAATTACTAAAGGTAAGTATTATAGTCACTATGATCTTACTTTTGAATACAATTATATTCTCTAAAATATACTGCCATATTTTTGTCCACTGCTTTAGTTTTAGTTATATATTTGAAATTATTTCTTTTTTTATAGACCGTGTTTTTATTGACTTGCAACATACTCGGATTATTTTGTCGGAAATATTTATTATTTGCAACATGCATTATCCTATTTTGGTAAATATTCATCTACAAATACATTAATATTATTATACAATCAACTTTACATCTCTTCTTTTATACTTTTTCATATATCGTCTCATACACTTTACCTTTTTTTCTACATTATTCATTATACATACTATTTCCACTCTTAAAAAATTGCTTAATTGCAAGTAAATAAATACGGAGTATACTACACGAGTAATGCATTATGCATGTACTCTTTCTCAATGGATTACGTACCTCGCCATCGTCTCATTTTATGTGTCTTATTTTCACTTTTGAGTTGTTATAATTAGAACTTATATTTTTCATAGTTTCAAAGTAAATCCCGAGAACCTATGTAAGGAATGAATATTTCAAATTGTGTGTGTATAAGGAGATTTGGGGATGAAATTTGGACATACAACACTTCAAATTCAGAAGTTGAGCCAAGTGATATATGATGGTTGAGAGAGGGAGAAGGAGAAAGAAAGTGAATTATGAATACGAACCGGAGCTGTTGCATTATGAGCATAGCTATGGTCTCCGGTACCACCATTCATGTGAAGAATCTGCTCTGTGCTTTCTGTCGACATTGGTATAGAAGATACTACTTTAGCTTATATGATCATATATGTTCTCGTATTATCGGCTTTATATAGGATGATGAGATGGGATGAATGAAAAATGGGCGGATGTAGCTTTGCATAGTGGGGCCCAATGTTATTTTGTGCCATAAAGTATGGTAAATTGGTAACGTTTGTTGTTGGAAGATTTTTTTTAGTATTGAAATGAAAAATGAAAAATTGCTTTCGAGGGAAGTGGTAGTACCTAATTAAATTTAACCAACTTTTCTGATTCAATTATTCCAATAACTTTATTACTCTTTTGCTGAAATAATTATTTTCTGATTAACATTATTTTAATCTCTTCTTTACCCAAAGTCCAAAGGACACGATATATACTCTCAAATTGAAGTTTCAAATGAATTTTTGAAAATAACTGTGCAGTTAAAAACGCAGTTCTTCAAGAATTTATTTGAATGCCTTTTCGATTGAAGTTTTAGCTGAAATTTGGTATGAGTAAACTAGACTTAATGAATAAGATGCTCAAAAAAGTTCATCACAAATTCCACCGGGAACCGCCCCAAATGACGTCAGCCGGACAGAGCCTCTTATATAAACCCTTATTTGACCTTTTTATGTAAGTTTGAGGCCCTATTTGACCCTTTTCCCAATTATAGTTGGTCAAAGCTTGAGATATGGCTTATGGGTAAATTTTAAGGCAAAAATGTAGTATCAATTTTATAAATACAAATGCAAAATTAACAAATTAATAATCTTGATTTTTTAAAACTCGGCTACGAACTATCTCATCCTTGAAACCTATTAAGAAATATTGCAATAATACAAATAAATGAAAATTTTGTAATTCAAAAATCAAAAAACTAATCTAGACTGTGGTTGGACTATGGCGAGTGGTGAGTGCCACGATTGGAGACTGTTGTTGAGCCATAAGTCCTATTTTCATTATCTGCTGATAATTAGATAAGGAGTATTATCAGAAATAAAATTTCGTGCAAAGCATAGATGAAATCCAAAAAGTCAAAAAAAAAAAGGAAGGAATGTAATGATTCTCTAGCTCCAGTTCAAAATAAAGACAAAAATAGCGACACAGATAAATCACCTAGTCCACTAAATAGTAAAAAGTCGAAGGCAACAATGGTGTAAAAATTGAGCCCACTTGTGAAGCGTGTAGCGTAAATCCAGTACTCAATCCCCTTGAGGAAAAACGGAACCCTGGCTTCCAATGAAACTAAACCGCAGCTACTGAGCTAATTTTGGGCATGTGCCTTCAACTGTTTATGGTTATATACGTAGTATCAACTACGGAGTAATAACCTAGGGTACTAATTAATTTTGGGCCTACAATTTTAGATGGACCTGTGCAATCCCACAGCCTACACTACTTGGTCATGGCCTGCCCTGCCTTGGGGGTTTCATAATTATAGCATGTTACTAGTTAAACACAATGATGCTTCTATCTAGCAGTTTACGTGATACCGAGTTTAAACGATCATCTGGGAACTAATATCATTCAATCGAATAGAAGCGGGGGCAACAATATACTAGTAGCATTTTTTGTGACCCGAAGCGGGGGCACTTGCCCTACATGCCCGCCCTAAGTCCTCTACTTCTCACTTTTAACATGACTAGATTCTCACCCATTCGATGCACGGAACAAAAATATTATATCATTTGTTAATAATACGCAGTATTAGTTAATGAAAGTACTTATGTAAATAGAAGTAATAAATAAATTCAAAGAGAATAAGAAGTCATATACAATATAGAGTATAATTAATAGACTTGAAGTAATACATTCTTTTTTTCTTAATAAATAATTATATGTTGATCGATGATTATAATGAGCATGACAGATATATTGTTCACATATAGTGTCCATCTATGAAGCACGGATACTTCACTAGGGTGCCGTATCGGCGTATCGGAAAAGTTCTCGTATCCGATACTCTAGGATACTCGTACCGTACGTTCCCGGGCCATATCTACAATTTTTAAAAGTTTCCAACTTTTTTGGTAATTATTTTAAAGTTTCAGATACTCGTATCATGACGGATACACGTATCAACTTTTTAAAAACTGGGTAATTATTTTAAAGTTTTACAGGCTCACTACTCAAGAAACTGGGTAACTTGTGTTGGAATATATTATCCCGGTTCACTACTGTTCAAAGGCCCAAAGCATCACCCCGATACGGAGCCCAATCGGCGAGGCCCATTTAGGCCTGCTTCGGCCCATTTGTGCCTTTTCGGCCCGTTAGGCCCTTTGTCCCATTGGCAACCCCTTCCCCATCTATAAACAGGAAGCAAGGCTTCCTATTAAAGGATCCTCTTTTTTGGAGCTTCTCTCCTCTCTCAGAATCTCATCTTCCTCATTACTTCTTCTTTAGATGAGCAAGCTTCTTCAACCTCCATGAATGGAGCTCAAGTCTTGTAATATGTAATTGGTGAGGAGAGTATATTAATGAGAAAGAGCGGACTTGGACGTTAGCCTAAAAAGTCTCGTGGTTTTCTCTCTTTCCGGGTTTCCACGTAAAAATAGCTAGTTCATACACTTTCTTATTTTTATTTACTTTTGTACCGAATTAATCGTCCTTAATATCCAAAGTTTATGTTGGACTTTCGGATCTACGGGACAAAACCTCAACAACAGTTATCAATACTAACTACATTATAATATATACCTATTAAAATTATTTCTCAAAATATACTCGAAGTACTTTATTTCATTATCACCTAAATAACCGTGCCGTTTTACTATGGAAACCTTCCAACGGGACGGATGTAGTATCAATTATGGACTACTATTCTTTTTTTACTATTTATATATCCTAGATACAAATTCACATTCATTAGTAGTAGTATTTTTATTCATACTATTAACAAAAAATTAAAATAATTATGTACTCGGAGTCTGGATAGTGTATATTAAGTCAAATACTTGTCTGAGAGATCAGTACACATTTTAAGGTGTGTGTTTTCAGATGCAACAAAACTTGGGAAAACAAAGGGGGAGGGGCCTGCTAACTAGTACTCACGTGGACAATATTCAAAACGTGGCAGGAGCAATAAGGGTCATGGAGGCCGCGGGGGCCGTGGAGGCCGTGGTCCGGGTCGTGGAGGATCTTCCAATGTATGCGCGAAGAGTTGAGGGTGCAAGATCAAATGCCCGCAATGCATCCGGAAAGCCTTCAGCCAAACGAGAAAGAAATGACGGAGACTCTTGCTATACATGTGGAGTTGCAGGTCACTGGCATAAGAATTGCCAAGCAAATAATAAAATTGCGGCAGCTTACAAAAAGTATTGGGGGGCTAAAGAACAGGAATCTCACAGTTGCTGATTTTGGCGGCAAGAAGGACGTTGTTCAGTCACTCGATGCACCTGACTATGACTAATTAAACTTAATTTCTTTACTTGCTCATGGACTGTTGAACACTTTTACTATTTGCGTGTGGTTTTATATCTCTTTTGTGTTGGACACTAAATGATTATTGTTTTTCCCTTAATAATTGGATTGATAATCCAAACAATATTTAAATTGTGGGTTCGGATTTATATTTTGTGTCCTTATTATACAGGAATGACCCGAGAAGAACTTGAGTGTTTAGTAGATAGTAGGACCACACACACTATCCTACGAAATAGGCAATTATTTGTTAAATTAATAGCCTATAACTCTTATGTGACTACAATGATTGGATCTTCAGACGTAATAAGAGGGCGAGGTACTGCCCAATTTATGCTGCCTAATAGCACAAGATTCATCGTCACAGACGCTCTATATGCACCTAGAGCCACCCAAACCTTATTTTTTTTTAAATATATTCGTGAAAATGGGTTTCATGTGGAAACTCACTGTGAGAATGGTGTAGAATATCTTTACATTACCTCTAATGAATGCGGAAGAAAGCGCATACTAGAGAAATTAATGAGTCAGTCTAGTGGACTTTATGTCACCACTATTCGTATCTTTGAATCCTTTGTTGTCACCAACGATGAAATTTGGGACAGACTCATATAGGCTTTGGCACGATCATCTTGGTCACCCTGGTCGTGACATGATGATTCATATATTAAAAAATTCGCATGGACATCCTTTCTTTCGAGGAAGGAATAAAAATGGGCAAAAATCAAACACATTGAAGGGGATTAGCCCTACATTTATAGAATACGAAAAAGCATCTTCTGAAGTATGAGAAGAATCAGCTCATTGATAAGCGTTTTATTAACGTGTTTTATATATTCATCTTAAAACGCTTTATGCTTAAAAAGAACAAAATCTTCACACATATGCCTCGTTTTGCTAGAAGTGCTCTAAATCGATGATTGGACAAAAAACAAGGATGATAGAATACACACGAAGAAAACCGACGGAAAAAGCTCAACCAAACGCATCCCGAGGAACAAACGAAGTCCAAAAAAAGGCACAAGACGAGAAAAAGCCGCCCGGGTTATGCCAAAGGCGGCCGGCTTTTGCTTACCCAGCTTATTTTCGCGTCCAAAGAGAAGAAAAGGTGTCCGGAGCAAGAAATGACGAAAGCCGCCCGGCTTTCGTGAAAACCGGCCGACTTTCGTCGCCGCATAATTAATTCAGTAAATGAAACCAAAAGTCGCCCGGCTTTTGGCAAAAGGCGCCCGGCTTTCGACCCCTGGAGCGGAGAAAGATTATTTTAAACGCACAAAAGCCGCCCGGCTTTTGAGAAAGTCGCCCGCCTTTCGTCTGGAACTGATTAAAACAAGCAACGGTCATCACAATCATTCGGGAGAAACTCCAAACCCCATTAAGGAGCTTGCTTCCTTTTCCAAAAATGGCCGTTAGGAGCTTAATATTTAAGCATGTTGAAGCCCTCTCAACACATTATTCCATATTCCACACACTTTACTTCCATTTTAGCATTCCAAGATCAACCCCTTAAATTGAGAAGAAGTTCTACAATTGGGGATTCCATTGTCCACCATAGCTTGGAGTTGTGGTATTACTTTCTTATGTATTTCATTGTATTTCATCATTTCAATACTTGTAATTTCATTATGAGTTGCTCTAGCT